CTGCAGTTTGGTCAGGTAGTCGATCGTGTAAACCATGTCAAGACGATCCCGTGTGCGGAAGCTTTCCATCATCATAGCAATGATCTGTCGTCCCTTCAGAAACTTGTACTCGGTCCCGCGAATGTACGCGTTTGATTTGAGGTTCACTTCCAAGAACAGATCGGCTGCTTGATCTCCAGCATTCCGTAACATGAGAGTCATCGCACTTGCCAGCTTCACGTCGATGCTTCTGAACTTGACATGTCCCGAATCGTTGAGCCCCTCAACATCCGGCATCGGCTTGAAAGATTCTTGCAGCCACTTGATCCAGTCGCTTTGATTGGTATCCGCACACGCGGCCAGAACGTTTGTGGTGACTGCTGCCTGCCATGCGTCCAAGTGAGTGACCTTGGGGAACGCAGGAATGTTGATCTTGTCGGCCTCTCTTCGGGATATCTTTGGCCCTTCGGTGTAATCGAGTCCATCTTCGGGTCCAGATCCACCGCCACCCCCTCCACCACCACCGTGGGGCGAAGAGTCTGGGTTGCCACCACCATCACCTCCACCACCTCCCTTCTTGATTGGCTTCCAGGATCCAGGGTCGGTTTTGTCTCCGTCCTCTTCTGGTTCGCCTTCCTCCTCGTTTTCTTCTTCTTCACCCTCATTCTCCTGCTCCTGTTCTTCAGCAATTATGCGCCATTGATCTCGTTCACGACGAAGACGAGCTTCGGTGTCTCTCATTCTACTCATTTCTTCCCGAAGTTCATCCATTTGCCTTTGTAAAGCTTCTTGATGAACAGCTGTCGTAGCGCTTGCGTGAGGATCTTGAGGATGATTGGGAGAATTCGGAGGAATTTCTGAAGCCATTCCGGGCGTCACCTCGTCCGTATGCCGCGAACGCGATGGTTGCCGTACACACTGATAGGACGTGGACGCCTTGGGTGGATCAGCAAGTAACTGTGAGGTGTGTGGTCTGGTAGCCAAGCCAGGAGGCAAGTCCAGCAAACCTGTCGTGAACATCCTTCCCGGAACCAGGTTGGGAACTGATGGTACTCCTGGAACGAGAACGGGAGGTCCACCAAACAACGATGTCCTTGTAGAAGTCGGTCGGCTTTCTGTCATTGGAATGGGCGGTCCTCCGAACAACGATGGCCTCGTGGGAAGAGCCGGGGGACCCGAACCCTCCTTTGAGGCATCTCCACCCTGGGAATGAGCCGGCGAAGCCGAACCCACCCCAGGAATGGTGTTCTGGACCCATGTCTTGAACCTCGATTCCGTCGTAGATGACATTGGTACATCACGATCAACTTCTTCCGGACTGCTGTAAGCTTGGGTTATTCCTGAACGGGATTGAACGCTTTGTGGACGCGAATTACGCACACCTACCCTAGGCACAGAAGAAACATTATCCCACTCAGACGTTCCGGCTGACGTAGGTCGGTTGTACGTTTGAACCTGTCTCGCAGCATCCAATTCTGACGTCAGTCGTCGATTGATGTCCTCATGAGATTGGCATTCCGCTCGTACCCTTTGCAGCTCCTCATGGATGCTAGGCAACGAAGCATGTTGGCTTTCCAATCGCTGCTCCATCTCGTGCACAGCTTGTCTCAAAGCAGCTGCTCTTTCTTCTTCTTCGTGGTACTGAACGATGACGCCATGAATGTTTACATTCAAGAGCCTGGTCTGATCGCGTTCATCCTGCAATGCCACGCTCTCATGATGAGCATATTCTCGCATCTCGCTCTTCTGCTTCTCGGACGCTTCACGTGCAAACTCGGAGGTTCACAGCTGATCTTCCATCTGAGCCACAATGACTTTGGCTTGTTGTAGATCGGCTCGCCTTCTCAGATTTTCATGTGCTCGAATGTTCAGCTCCTCGGTAAGTCGCTGGTAATCTCGAGCTATCGTGTTTCCTTCACCATGGGCCGCTTCTTCCACGTTGACCATGTACTGCGCCATCTCGCGTTGCTGGTGCATCAACTGCTCCTGAGTCATCGTCGCTTGATGATGATTGTCGGCAGCATGTTGCTCCAGTGTTGCGATCGTGGCACCAACGACTTGCTCACGTTCAGCGAGTGTAGCTTCGTGACGTTGATGGATATGAGCTGCCAGTTGCGCGTTCTGATCACGTTCGCGTTCTAGCTGCTCGATCCTGAGTGATGCCCCATAGTCTTCCTGTTGCATCTCCTCGATCTTCAGTCGCAACATGGCAATGACCTCTTCCATCTTCCGCCTTTCGCCTTCTTCCCGGATTCGTTCCGCTAGAGGGTTAGCAGACTCGACCGGGGGACCCGAATCAAGCCCGCTCCTGCCACCAGCCGGAGGTTCCGAACTGGGGAGGCCGGTACCCAAAAGAGGGCCACCGTACCCTCTTCGCGGTGACGTTTCCGGCCGTCCGGCGTCCGGCGAGGATCGTGGAGAGATTCGTGGAGAAGTGCCTCTTCTTCGTCGTGGAGTACTTGGAGTGTTGGATCTCTTTGATGTTCGTTCCGATGATTGTCTGGAAGTGGATCTGAGGCGTGAAACTTGACTCATCTTCGAGTTTCCATCTTCACGCAGTACGCTCAAACCACTTCTGGTTCGTGCGGGTGCCTTCGCAACCGCGACCATCTCAACGGCATCATCTGATGATGTAACCGCATCTGTGTCGGCGCAGCCTGTGCTTTCGCCCAATGCAGGTGCAGCAATAGCATCACCATCACCGAAGGTCATGGTTGTGTCGGCACTCGACGACGAGGTTGGCAGTGCCATAGCTCAGCCCGTACAGTAGTCGCAAGAAATCGCAACCGCTATACGGCTGATAACCTGCGTGAGGTCGGGTAGTTGCTTGCACTACGCTTTGGCTCCTCACCAGCCAAATGGTCTCGCACTTTGTTTTCTGCACTGGCGTTCGCCTTCAGTCTCCGTCTCGTGCACCCGGGCGGTTTCCAGTTACGCTATTGCGCTTACTTCCAACCTATGGGTGACCTTCACTCTAGGGGTTACTTGAGCCTTGAGCCAATGTGGTGAACAGGCCACGGCGTTCTAAGGTGGTTTCCCCGATGTGCGGCGGAGCCGACACAACGGGGTCCCCAAAACGTGCTGTGGTTCGGGGATCATTCACAGGCCATGATCTGACTCAGAGCCGCTTCTTCAGCAGGATGCTTGGAAACCTTCAACCCTAAACCCTAAACCCTAAACCAAAAAAAAACCTAAACCCTAAACCCTAAACCCTGAACCCTGAACCCTGAGGGCCTTCAAGGCGGTGGATGGCCCAGATCAGGGGAATTGCGCCGTACAGCGCCATGGGCTCATCGATCTCATACCTGAAAGGTGGAGGGTGCAAGGGCTTTCTTGGCTTTGCAGGGTTTAGGGTTCAGGGTTCAGGGTTTGGGGTTTAGGTTTTAGGGTTTAGGGCTAGGGTTTAGGGATTGAGTTAGGGTTTACGGTATCACCAAAGTTCACCCGAAGCCTCAAACACCTTAAGCCTATACCACCGAACCCTCAACCGCAGATGCATCCTAAACCTTACATCCCTGACCCCCAAAACCTCCTGGTCCAAGGCGCAGATAAGCTTCAACCAAGGGTTTCGGGCTTAGGGCTTAGGGTTAGAGTTTAGCGTTTCGGGTTTCGGGCTTATGACCCTAGACCCTAAATCCTAAACCCCCTGAACCCCCTGAACCCCCTAAACCCCCTAAACCCCCTAAACCCCCTAAACCCCCTAAACCCCCTAAACCCCCTAAACCCCCTAAACCCCCTAAACCCCCTAAACCCCCTAAACCCCCTAAACCCCCTAAACCCCTAACCCTGTTTAGAGTTCAAGAGTTCAGGGCACTCAAAAACGTCGAGGTTGAAGAAGCGGTACGGCTCCTCGTAAAAAGGCAGGCTGGCCTGGCCCCAGGAAGCAACAAACCCTAAACCCTAAACCCCAAACCCTAAGCCCTAAACCCTAAACCCTAAACTCCCATGGGCTAGGGAGCAGCTCACCGAAAACCCCCCTGGCCGAAGCTGCCACGGAAAAAAAGAGTGCCGAAGGCCTTTAAGAGCAAGCCAGGGAACTCAATCAACCCCAAATCATATTAGGAGTATGTACCCTGGGGTTTAGGGTTTAGGGTTAAGGGTTTGGGGTTTGGGGTTTAGGGTTTAGGGTTAGGGTTTGGGGTTTGGGGTTTAGGGTTTAGGGTTTGAGGTTTAGGGTTTAGGGCTTCATCAACCCCCAGAACTGCACCATTGGGGTACTATTTGAAAATGATCATGTGCGTTCTCTATTGGGTTTAAGTAATCATGTCAAAACGATCTTCAACAATGACCCCCTAAAACACATAGGATTATGTATCCTGGGATTTAGGGCTTGGGGTTGAGGGTTTAGGGTTCGGGGTTCAGGGTTTAGGGTTTACTATACTCAACTTGGAACCCTGGCAACAATTGTAATTTTAGCTGCTTCTTAGGGAATTCAAGTACGCAAAAATGAATAACATATCTCCAAGTACCCCTAAACCCTAAACCCTAAACCCTAAACCCTAAACCCTAAACCCTAAACCCTAAACCCTAAACCCTAAACCCTAAACCCTAAACCCTAAACCCTAAACCCTAAACCCTAACCCCCCCATGCGCTCCCCAAGGAAGGCCCTGGCTCCGCGGTGCCTTGGTGGCATGTTCCGGGAGCCCAAAGAGGCTGGGAACATCGCCCTGGCGAGTGTGGGCAGAGGGTTTAGGGTTTAGGGTTTAGGGTTTAGGGCTGAGGGCTGAGGGCTGAGGGTTTCTTTGGAGGTTCATGAATACTTCTAGATAGACTTCTATGTAAGGTAACTATAGATGTAGCTGGTTATGACCTTAGTTAGGGTACATATAAGCCCACTCTTCAGTACCCATGAACCTCCAAGTAGCCTGAGTGACTAACCTGAGCACACCGCTGAAGGAAACGGACGCTTTTCCACACCGAGACCTGAGAATCAGCATCCAGCAAGAATGGCCGCTTTTGCGGACACGCTGGGCGAAAAGGGAAGAGAACATGAGGGGTTAGCGAGTCAAATCTGTACAGCTCACACCGGAAAAGTTCTTAAAGAGGGAAGCACGTTGTAATGTCCATTGGCCTCCGCCAGAAATTCACAGGTTTCGCCACGGTCATTGGGCTGAGGATATGCTCCATACCTCAACAGAAGCTCTACGAGCTCTTCACTGCCGATGGCTGCGGCGGTCAATAAAGGTGTAGATCCGGGCAGTGTTGCGGCAGAACGTGTTTGGGGCGTACATGTCTGACGACCCAAGAGAGCCACCTGAAGAAGAAAAGAAGGATTCACATCTTGCTTAGATCCTAGGTTGCCTGTGGGAGAAATGACTTACTGTTGGTTAGTAGGGAATGGAGGGGGATAAGGTACCATATTAGTATATAGGGGATATATGGAACCTTATTCCCCCATTCCCTAGTAACCAACAGTAAGATGATGGCTAGGAAGTGATAGTAAGCTAAGGGTTCGGTGGAATGGACTTGTCGAATCTGCCTTTTTTGTGTGTGGTTAAAACATGTTCTTCGTCGGTTTCGCCTTGCCTTTGCCCTGCCAACTGCGACCATCGTCAGCCACATGCCAGATTGCCTGGAAACGACGTTCGGATCTGCTCTTCCCTCCAGCAGAGCATGCACAATCTGCACGCTGCTGCTGTTCCCGCGGGCTAAGGCCACTCCTGAGATCATAGGAGTGACACCCAAGCCACACAATGGAGGGTTGGGATCGCAGCGCAGTCGCAATAAGGCAGACACCGTCTCCGCATTTGACATCCCAGCTGCCTTGGCCAAGGGCGTGAGACCCAAGGGCATGCCAGGTTTATGAAAATCAGCGCCGCTGCGCAGAAGCTCTTCGATGTGCTGCGAGTTCTTCACCTTACTGTTGGTTCGTCGGGAATGAGGGAATAAGGTACCCTATATCCCCCTATAAACACCTTTAGGGATTGTATGGGGTACCTCATTCCCCGCATTCCCCCATTCCCTACTAACCAACACCAAGTCACGAACGCTGGCACCGGCGTACCCTCGAAGCTGGAGGCATGGACATCCGCACCCAAGTCTAACAAAGTTCGGATCCTTACCAGGATGGGCTATTCGGCCTAATAACCTCCATAAGCAACCCTATAAAGGGCCTTTTTAAGGGGTTTTGGGGTGTAGTAGCCCATCCTGGTAGATTTGGTCTGCCGAAGCCGCGGGAACACAGAACACACACACCCAACAAAAACTGCAGCAACAATTTCAAGCTGAACCAAGAACAACCCTAGACCCCAAATGCTACCAATAACCCCTACCCTAAACCCTAAACCCTCAACCCTAAACCCTAAACCCTGAAGAATGTGCCTAAAACGTCGATATGTCTAAACCTCACACATGGATCATCTCTGCAGACTGTCGCGACTCCAGGGCAACCATCAAGAGGCCTTGGTAGCCCAGTAACCGTATTGTGACAAGGGCACCCTTTTTTGGGTTGGGTGTAGGGTTTAGGGTTTAGGGTTTAGGGTTTAGGGTTCAGGGTTCAGGGTTTAGGGTTTAGGGTTTAGGGTTTAGGGTTTAGGATTCAGGGTTTTAGTGTTTAGGGTTTAGGGGGTTACTTTATGCTACTTTAGAAGGAAACCCATAACCAAGAAAAGAGACAAAGGGTATCGATGGGCTGCTAAGAGGCTCCAATCCTGTGAAAAGCCAAGCTCCTCCAAACCAAGGACATTGGCATTGAGGTCTGCCTTCTTCTGCGCCTTCGTAGCCCAGTATAACCATATAATAGTAAGGGTACCCTTGTTTCGGCTGGTTACTCTATGAGAGAGCCCCTAAACCCTAGACCCTAGACCCTAAACCCTAAACCCTAAACAATAAACCACCCCCCCCCCCCCCAAAAAAAAAAAAAAAAAAAAACCAATGGGCCACCAAGGTGCCAGGCAACGCAGCATCTTCACGTCACCGGACAAGGTGGCGCACTGGACTCCGTTCATGCTGCTCTTGGCACCTTGCTAGCCCAGTAATCGAATTACCATATGGGCACGTTTAGGGTTTAGGGTTTAGGGTTTAGGGTTTGGGGTTTGGGGTTTAGGGCCTTTTTGGGTGGGTTGCTTTAAGGGAACCTTGACACCCAGAAAAGGGGAAAGGGTACCACTGGGCCACCAAGGAACTGATGGCTGACTCCAAGTCAGGGAACTTGAAATGGAACAAGAAGTCGTCCATGTCCCGAGTCAGAGATGGCTGCCCCAACATCCTGGATCGCCGTGCCAGAAAGAACCGATACAGGTTCTCAGGGCCTGCAGAAGACCTTAGTTGCTGAGTTCATAAGCCCCCCCCCCCCCCCCCCACCAAAAAAAGTGTAGACTTTCAGTTATATAGGGGATTATAGTATCCGAAACAGTGCAAAGTGTACTCATTCAGCTACACAGAGACAGGTTTTGAATCTTGTGTTCGACGGCTACTTCACCTAGCCTTCGAACCACATCGCGATCGCTTTCAACCGTGAAGTCGCCAGTATCGATGGTGTTCTCCTGCGACAGGGGCTGGGGATTTAGGGATTTAGGGTTTGGGGGTCTAACCAAGGGGTTTTGGGGTTTAGGGTTTAGGCTATGGCATGAAAGTCGCAAGCAACCCCTTCACTTCTCCTGCCAATCCCGCGGGTACATGAACTGCGACTCTTTGGAGGAGAACACGACAATGACCTGAACAGACAGCAGTACCCTAAACCCTAAACCCTAAACCATGAATGTTTAGCCGGCAATCCATACTTGGGCCATCGCTCTATGAGACTCCGTGACTTGCCCCCCGAGTTTTGCCCCGCAGTTGGGGTGTCAGCTAAAAAGTAAAGTTCAGGGTTTAGGTTTTAGGGTTTGAGGTTTAGGGTGGCAACAGCCTGCGTGAAAGGCTTGCTGGACAGAAGATGACACCACAACTCCGCACGGCACCATCCGCGCGAGAGCCAGGAGGTGTAGTTGCAATACCTTCCGGTGTCTTTGTGCTTAACTTCGGGAACCAGCGCTAGAAAGATCGTTGACGCCTCCACATAGAACCTTGGTAGCCAGTCACCCTATTCGAATAAGGGGACCCTTTTTGGGGTTGGTCACTTTGTAAGGGAACCTTGAACCCCAAAAAAGGGTACCCTTCTTAGGGTTGTCCACTGTATAAGGGGACCTTGAATCATAAACAAAAGAAAAGTAAAGGGTACCACCGGGCTACCAAGGAACGGGATGCTTTGGACAGCAAGCGCCGCGTCGCTCTTGGTGCTTTCCTCGTTCACTCCCTCTGCTCGGGCTGTGATCTGTGGAATGGCAAACCAGTCCAAAAAGATGTAGCCCGAAAGGACTTGATTCCTGGCGTACTCCACCTCAGCTGTGGAAAACTATAGCCGGGCCCCAGGCTGGGAAAAACCTGCCAAAAATATGTTGTTTTAAACCATGAACTCCTTCACAATTGGGTGTAAATGAAGCTTTTCTTGGAATGGGGCAGGTGGGTGCGCAACGACCTGAAGCCGAAGACGCAGCCTCGGCTTTAGGGTTTAGGGTTCTTTGCGAAGACGCATTGCGAAGAAGCATTGTGGAGCCGAAACTTGAAGACGAAGACGCATTATTGCCAAGCCGAAAATTGGAGGCGAAGCCGAATTAGGAGGCGCAGACACATCGCGACACATCGCGAAGCTGCGCTAGGAGGCGCAGACACATTGCGAAACCGGATTTCGAGGCAGGCGCTCTACTGCCGTGCTTCTTTTTTTGCCAGGTCTTCTCAGGCAGGGGGACTTCCTGGCCCCCTATGCTTTCGCACTTTCATTGTCAGATATCTAGAGTCCCGTGGTACTTTTGTGATTTGCGAGGTTTTGCCATGTGGAGGTTTAGGGTTGAGGGCTTAGGGTAACATTCACAATTCGAGTTTCTTGCAAGCAGGGAATTTCAGCTCCATGTTACTCGCGAGGATTTTCAGAGCAGGGAATGTTTACCCCCCGGCCGCAATGCATACGCACCCTAAACCCTAAACCCTAAACTCTATTCAAACCCTGACCTGTCGAAAATTGCTTGGAGGCCAAGCTGCTGCATCGTCAAGAGGAACATTTGCATCGTAAGCAACGTCCATCTCCACTTGCAAAGACCCTTGGTTAAAATGGTTCAGTGTTTGGGGTTAAGGGTTTAGAGTTTCCGAAATTAGGGCACATGGGTGGTTTCCGAGGTTAAGGGTACCTTATCGGGGTCCTTATTCTAACGGAAGACTACTATTTGAGAGGTCTTTTTTAGGGGTCCCCTATATTCGTAATCCCCCAAATGGTTGAGGGTCTTGCTAGCCCGGTAGCCATATTATGATGAGGGTGTTCGTTTTGGGGTTGGTCACTTTGTCAGGGAACCTTGAACCCAAAGAAAGGGTAAATGGTACCACTGGACTACCAAGGGCTTGCCTGTTTACAGGAGTTCGTCCTGGACCAACAACATCAGTTCAAAGTGGGGCAAAGCCAGCCGCCCTGGGAAGAGCTAACGCGTCCCATTTTGGGGGTTTACGAAAATAGGGGACCCTAATTTAGACCCAATATAGTAGGATTCCCGTAGAATAAGGATCCCATTAAGGCTTAGGGCTTAGGGTTTAGGATTTCGATGCCGAAGATCCATCGAGAACTCCTTGCAAAGTGCTGCGCAGAACAGCGGCGTGCCGTCCCTGCGGATCTGGGTGCCCGCTTGAAAGCCACTGGTGCGACACGAAAATCACGCTCATACCCGGGGTCCACCGGTGAAGCAAGCCTTTTCGAAGCAGTGCGTGGTGCGGTTCCAGCACACCCTTCATGTCGAGAAAGTCAGATACCTGGCATGGGAATGAAAACTTAGGTGAGAACAAGGTTTAGGGTTTAGGGTTTAGGGTTTAGGGTTTTGGGTTTAGGGTTAAACATCTGGCTCAGGTGTGGGGTTGAAGTCCACTCACTGCACAGGCCAATATGCAGAGGGTAGGAGGAACTGAAGCATCTATCCTCCCCACACTTATATCGCTGACCATCATTTTTCAACGACCGGCCTTCACAACATGCATGGGAAAGAGGCACTGATGCACATGTTTGGATGGAATTGCCACGGTCTCGATTGCATCTTCACACAACCGAGTAGCACAGGCTCCCATGTCGCGTGGCGCCAAGGACTGCTTCGACCAGCAAGAGACACCGCTTTGGAAGCACAAACCCTCAACCCTAAATCCCAAACCCTACACCCTAACACCCTCAATCCTAAACCCTACACCCTAAACCCTAAATCCTAAACCCTAAACCCCTAAATCCTAAATACTGGAACCGGTGCTTCCCGGCTCACAAATGCCATAACTTTGAAGATACACCTACGCAACATGCTTGTTCCAAGGCTAGTGGGTGCTTTGGCTTCCCTAACCCCAACGCTTGCTCGAAATAGAAACATGCGTCGCGGGCAATTGTTCCAAGAACTTGGTTTAGGGTTTAGGGTTTAGGGTTTAGGGTTTAGAGTTTAGGGTTTAGGGTTTCGGGTTTGGGGTTTAGGGCTCATGTAAGCGCATGTCCTAAGCAAAAACGCTGCAAACCCTATAAACCCTGCAAAGCCTTAACCCTGAACCCCAAACCCTAGAAGGTGACCTTGCTACGTAGGTCACTCCTAATCCCTAAACCCTAAACCCTAAACCCTAAACCCTAAACCCTAAACCCTAAACCCCAGCTCCCATCTAACCTTGAGACCCTAAGCCCTAAACCACCGATGCTAAGGGCCCCTTAGGCCCACCAAGTCCCACAAGCACAGGGGCCAAGAGTCCAACCCTAAAACCCTTAAACCCTTAAACCCCAAAACCCTAAAACCCTGAAACCCTAAAACCCTGAAACCCTGAAACCCTAAAACCCTAAAACCCTAAAACCCTAAAACCCTCAACCCTAACCCCTCAACCTCAACCTCCACGTCTAAATCTTTAAGGAAAGCCCATTTTTTGATAGGGCTCCCAAACGCCTTGGCCTAAAATTACAACGTCTGCTCCCGCTCTGAACTGCCCACTTTCTGAAAGCGCAGAAATTTCTCGGTGTCCTAAACCCTTTTGGGGTTCAGGATTGGGTTTAGGGTACAGTAGCTCCTTGCGCTACTCCATGCCCACAAAACCCATGGAAACTCTGAGGCCAGACCCTGTAAACCCCCCAAGCTACGCGCCCCCAAAATCTGTCAACCCCCTAAGCCCCCTAAAACCCTACTTGAAGCCCCTAAACCCCTACAACCCCTAAAGCCCAAACCCCCGAACCCTAAACCTCCTAAACCCCTAAAGCCCTAAACCCTAAAGCCCTAAGCCCTAAACCCGAAGCCCTAAACCCGAAACCCGAAGCCCTAAACCTTAAACCCTAAACTCTTAAACCCTAAACCCTAAACCCTAAACCCTATAGCCTAAACCCTAAACCCTTGGACCCTGAACCCTGAAACCCGGCACCCTGAAACCCATCACCCCAAACCCGCCGGCGCACGAGGAAGCTGACATCCATACCCAGCGATGCTGGACCTGCAGTGCCGGGTGCCCTACACCCTAAACCCGGAACCCTAAACCCTAAACCCTAAACCCTAAACCCTGAACCCTAAACCCTGAACCCTGAACCCCACCGGTTCGGGTTTCAAAGCTGGGGGATTCGTGGCCGAGCCACAAACCCTTAAGGGCTGTTGGGTCTAGGTTTTGGGGTGTGTGTGTGTGGGGGGGGGGGGGGGGGGGGGGGGGCTTAGGGCTTAGGATTCCCAGAACTACCAAACCCTAAACCCTAAACCCTAAACCCTAAACCCTAAACCCTAAACCCTAAACCCTAAACCCTAAACCCTAAACCCTAAACCCAAACCCTGAAAGCAAGCGCCTCGAGGTTTTTGGTCGGTGTGCCCGCCGAAGGGCTCTTCCCACAAGCCCTGTCGTGTAGGGTTTCGGGTTTAGGGTTTAGGGTTCAGGGTTTAGGGTTTAGGGTTTAGGGTTTAGGGTTCAGGGTTCAGGGTTCAGGGTTTAGGGTTTAGGGTTTAGGGTTTAGGGTGTAGGGCTTAGGGCTTAGGGTTTAGGGCTAGGGTTTAGACAGTGAGTAGGGTTTAGGGGATTTACGGGTGCCTAACCCTAAAGCCGACACCCGAAACCCTAAAACCCTAAACCCGAAACCCCAAACCCTAAACCCTAAACCGTAAACCCTGATCTCTGAACCCTGAACCCTAAACCCTAAACTTACACCCCGAACCCCAAAAGCCTAAATCCTAAACTCCAAGCCCAAAGCCCCAAAACCTAAACCCTGTTGGGTTCAGAGTGCAAAAAGGCCATTGTTTTCTGTGGGCCATAGGTTGGGCTTAGTTTTGAGGTCTGCAGGTGGCTTTAGGGTTAGGGCGCAGTTTAGGTGTTGAAGGCTTGGGGTTTTGATGAGGACTTAGGGTTTATGGTGGGGTCTGGGGTTTGGGGCTTGGGGCTTGGGGTGTCGGGTTTAGGGTTTAGGGTTTAGGGTTTAGGGTTTAGGGTTTAGGGTTTAGGGTTTAGGGTTTAGGGTTGTGGGCTGAAGGCCGAGTTCAGGGTTCAGGGCTAAGGGCTTGAGCTGTTGGGTTCTGGGTTTCTTGGGTCGGACCCTTAAAGCTGTGCCCTTGGGTTTTGGGGACCCCTAAACCCTAAACCCTAAACCCTAAGCCCTTTCTAAAGATCCTTAAGGTATAGCATAAGGGCCATCTTCGGGGTGCGACCTTAGGGGTAGGAGTCTAAAGGCTACCCATGCAGCAACCCAAAAAGACAAGGTTTAGGGTTTAGGGTTTCGGGTTTAGGGTTTAGGGTCCTTAAAGTGCATGCGAAGCGGGTAGTAGGAGGTGGCACTCTTTGCAATCCCAGGGGTAGGTTCATCGGCCCTTAACATGGTCCCCTACCCTCTGTAACGGTTTCCGATAGAAGGTTTAGGGCTTCTTAAGGCTTTGGAGAGCCCAGCCCGTCTAACGACCCTAAACCCTAAACCCTAAACCCTAAACCCTAAACCCTAAACCCTAAACCCTAAACCCTAAACCCTAAACCCTAAATCCTAAACCCTAAACCCTAAACAACCCTAAACCCTAAACCCAAGCATGTCTGGGTTGCATTGGTATCCAGTGAGTGTGGATGTGCGGCTGCGTCAAGCAGGACCTTGCCAATGTTGCAGAGATCGTTCTGGAGGTCTTAGGGCTTAGGGGTGTTTAGGGTTTAGGGTTTAGGGTTTTAGGGTTTAGGGTCCCAACACCCTAAACCCCAAGAATCAACGACACCTAAAAAACAAAAAGACAGCACCCACCCGGCCAAAAGTACGAACTGAGGCTTGAGTACAATCAGAAAGATAGCATGCATAGAAGTTCTGTGTGCGCATGACCGTGCACACATGAGGATCCAGAGCTGTCCCTTGGTTTCGTTGAGGTGCCCCTAAACCCTAAACCCTAAACCCTAAACCCTAAACCCTAAACCCTAAACCCTAAACCCTAAACCCTAAACCCTAAACCCTAAACTCTAAACCCTAAACCCTAAACTCAGACAAGCGGCGGCTGCGGAATCTGCTACCGCAGCTGAGGCCGAATCCGGTGGCAGCCTCTCCTGGTAATACTAGATGCAGTTCTAGGGGCCCCCAAAAATCGGGTTTAGGGTTTAGGGTTTAGGGTTCAGAATAGGGTGGGTTCATGGGTTCATAGTAGGGTTTAGGGTTTAGGGTTTAGGGCCGTTTAGGGTCTGGGTCCTGTTAAACGGTCCCAGAAGAGGGATATGTCTTACTACTACTTTGGGCCATCATTCTTTTCACTGAAGTTCGTAAAGTAAGGGGGATCAAAGAAACCCTAAACCCTAAACCCTAAACCCTAAACCCTAAACCCTAAACTGCCCGAACGAAGAACAAGGGCCCAACTTAGGGTCGGGAGCGTCCCATACCTGCAGGTCTGGCGACTTGGTTGAGGATGATAATGGGCTTGAGAGCCATGTAAGGCTCAAGGTTTAGGCTTTAGCACATGGTCAGTTCTCAAAATTAGGGTCCCTTTTTGGGTACAGGTACCCCCCCAAAAAAGGAGGGGCCGCCTTAGAAGAAGGATCCCAAAAAGGACCATAATTTAGAGAAATCACCATAGGTGTTAATGTATTAGGCATTCGCAGTTCTCCTCACAACTCCTTTCGACTAACACAGATAGCCAACCCCAGCACCATGGATAACTTGAGGGTCTACGCAGGGCTTGGGGTATCAGGGTGTGTACACACACTAAGGTTTAGGGTTTAGGGTTTAGGGTTCAGGGTTCAGGGTTTAGGGTTTAGGGTTCACAAGCGCCGACGTGTTCTGCGGCTTCAACACCAGTCGGGGAAGAGATTCCTCTAGCAGAACGAAATCTGACCAGGGTAGGTATCCCTGACTCAAGCGACCAGTGTATGGCGTCATCGCGGCCTGGAAGTCCTGCAAGCTGTAGCATCGCTCTTGGTGCCCCTGGGACAACGCAGCCAATGCTCGCGCAGCTTGATACTGCCTGCGCCACCAAGTCCTGTCCTGGTCCTTCGCCTGCCAGGTGAGGAACACAACAACTCTAATACCTGGACTTCTGAGCAGAAAACCGGAACCTTATCCATGCCACTAGACAAGTAAAGCTTCCTGAGGAGACGTTTGTGTCTTTGGTTTTTGTTTTTTAAGTAGGTGCGCCGGCCTGCTTGCTAGTCTTCCCGTGCTAGGGTTTAGGGTTTAGGGACCCCTCAGCCCAAAACCCTAAACCCCTTCTTCCCAAAAACCCCCAAGCCCTGGAGTGCAAGCATTGCCTTCGGCTTCCGGTAACGCTCGAAGTTGAGGAGATTCCGGGCATTCAGCCTCGTCATGGGCCCTAACCCTAAACCCTAAACCCTAAACCCTAAACCCTAAACCCTAAACCCTAAACCCTAAACCCTAAACCCTAAACCCTAAACCCCTAACCCTAAACCCCAAACCCTAAACCCTAAACCTCAAACCCTAAGCCGGTAGGGAATGGAGAGGATGAGGAGCGTGCGCTGTTGGTTTCACACCACCACAGCCCGAGGGAGATGGCAAACCGGGATCACGTCTCTCTAGGGTTTAG